CTTGTCTTTTTTAATCTTTTATAATAAGACAGAGACCAGCTTGTGTCTGTCACTAGATGAAAGTCCTCTAAATGACCGCCGTTGGTCCTAAGCAGCGACGTCTCCCCTTTCATCAGACAACGCTCCTCTCTTCTTTGCCGTTCCTCTGACACCAGCCACACGAGCAGCGGCAAACCTCCCCAAAACCACCAGCCAATTAGAAGGGACACGAGAAAGATGAAACGCCATTATCGCGCTCTCCTCGGCCATACGTCCAACCAATTAACAGCAATGAGTGCAGTCAAAAAGAGGGAATAATCCTCTGCTCCTGCCCACAGCCAAGAGAGGGAGCAGTCAGCGGTGTGTGCAGGCGGTGACAGAACAGACACGGGGACAGTTAATTGATCTTCATTACGTTAATTATGGCTGTGATGTGGAGCAGAGAATGAAGTACAGGTCACACTGTAGTGTCTAAATGTAGCCTGTTAAGCTTTCTGCTGACCTTGAAGTGAGCGAGCGTTTGTGCATAAAGAGTTCCACTGCACTTTTAAATCTCTGCCAGGCTGATAGTTATCCGTTGTAAATCTCACCCTTCTCACTTACTTTAAACTGCCTGAGGTCCCGCCTTACCTCTTCAAACTTCAACAAAAAAATCTGCAAGCTTTCTGCAGGCATGAGTGTGTGAGATCTCCTCCTGTCCACTCCAGTGCACGGATGGCTGCACTGTCAGCAAGCCTGGCTCTGCCCTTGCATTTGAATAAACACCATCTGAGTTGGCTGCTCCTGTATAAGATCTGTCAGGAAGCTGCCACCCAGTGATCCCACAGACTCTGACCTCTGTCCCTTGGGGAGCGGCTGACGGGACGTTGCGGTGACAGGGTGTCTCTCCTGTCGATCCGCGCGCTGATACGCCGTACACCCTTGTCCCGCTCCGTTCACAACTCAAGTGGATTGCTGCTCTGCCCTATGCATCGGAAATGAGCTGGGGCTACTTTGCAGGATGCAATGCACAAGTCGCAGGGATCGGATAAACACAAGCCTGTCACGAAGATTGATAGTTCCCTGGAATTTTTGTTGTCGTCTTGTCAGTAGAATAAACTTTTCCCTGCTGAATAATTGAGTCCTTCAGCTGAAGAGCCCTGTCAAGCCTTTGTTAGGTTTACACTCAGGAGAGTGTTTCCCGGATAAAGAAGAGCGGAGGATGTGAAGTTCTTGCTGATGTATGACTGCAAGTTGTTTCAAAGATAAATACATTTCAAGCAAACATTTGTTTTTTTAGCTTACTAAAGCCTTCATGTGTTACATAAGATCCAAACTTCATCACTTGTTGCTCTCCGCAGGGAACATTTTAAAGCAGCAGCCATCTGTTCTCCAGCTCATCACACCTGGCTTTAACATGGGGATAATTATTCCTGACAGCTAGAGGTATAGACTGATCAACTGTTTTTATAAACTATCCAAATGGTTATCTAAATCTGTGATTATACTACAGTAACTGAATCTTTGTCCTAATAGAAAGTGTGAAGACATCAGCAGACTTTATGCTTTAACGCTTCTCCACTGTTTCATTAAAGCATTTACTTTAATATTTCTCATGTCATTCCAACAGTCAAAGAGGTGGTACATGTATCAGAGCCAGGTGTGCCTCAAACGATATATATTGTGTCTGTGAGGAACAGGGATTTGCTGGGACTTTGAGATGGAGAGGCCTTACTATGAGGTTGTGTGCTTTGCGCGTTACAAATATTTGGTTACTTCCATGGAAACTATTATTTCATGACATTTCACTGATCACCATTCCTGCTGTTCTCTAATGCAGTCATCAAGTTTAAAAACTCAACACCAGTTGTACTCAGACTTGACCATCTATGACTCAATCCTTAAAGTCACATATTCTGCAAAATACACTTTACCATGTTTTTCTAACTCTAATATGTGTCTCTAGTCCGTCCCCAATGATGAGAAAAGTCCATCCTCTCTGTATTCTGCCTGCTCCACTTTTCAGAAAATGTGTGCTCAAACAGGCCGTTTGGAGATTTTCCCTTCATGACATCACAAAGGGCAGTAACCCCTCCCCCAGGTGGTTGACACTCCCACAGCTAGGTGTTTGTTCTGCCCTCTGAGTCTGCCTTCTCACTGTAAACAATAGGGCACAAAACCTTTTCCAGTAGTCAGACACAGTTAGTGAATAACCATATAAGCAGATGTAGTTCATATATCATCTATCTTTGGAAACGCATGATCTGCCAAGGTGTTAACAGCTGTGCTCTGTCGCTCATTACACCTGTCATCAAATGTGAAAAAAAACAACATTTTTCAGCACGGCAGAATGTATCTTTGTACAACAACTGACGGTTTAGTTTCATCGTGGGTTACCAATTATCAGAATCAGAAATACTTTTTTAATCCCACCGGGAAATTCGGTGAACCATGGAAGTCAAATGTTAACACGTTTGAATTAACTAGCCTGTTTTATCCCACCTGATGCCAATTAAGCACAATTCCAACAAAGCATAGATGTTCCTCAACCAAAAACTAATTATTGTTTGCTCTGAAAGCAGGTAAAGGGTTAATAGGTGATTAACTAATTGATTTTCTCTCCTTTTCTTTGAGCGTGTAAATCACTGTGTGGTAGAACAATTCTGTTTATTTCATATGGTATTTCGTTAAACGAACCATGAACTCCTCTGCGAGTAAATACCACCAAATAGCACCAGCATGAAACCAAAACAAACTGCTGTTTGGCAAAACCTCCACCATACACGACACACCTCCATCCCCTCTCCACTTGCATTTGCACAAAGAGGCTCTCGCAAACAGTGGACTAAATTGTCCTTTGCTCGAGCTGATTGCCTGTGGCCTGCATTGTAGTGTTAGTATGCTAATGTTAGCACACTTTAGTTAGCTCGTAGCTTCACATAGCATTTAAATTTACATGGATGGACCGTGATCTAAAAACTCTTACGTGAAATCCAAATAAGCAGTGAGTATGTCATTCTTCTTTTCTCTAGCCAGCCTTCCCGTCCGTGTAAACATGACGTAAACATGGTGCCAACAACAACACAGCCAGTGGGACTCAAGCTTCTCACTAATTGTCGACAGTATTCAGAGAGACATTTACACCGGAGATACTTGATTTCTGAAAAAAATATGTGTAAAATGTTGCACATTCTTCCTTTAATAAGCTTGTGCCTTTACATTTTGAAACATTGGGATTTGTTTCTAACACAGAAAAGTCATTAAAGCCTGCCAACACTAGAACACCTCCCACTGAGAATTGTGCTATAAAAAATGTATTCACACTACACCCCCCCCCACCACCACCACCACCATCCATCTCCCCCAGAGAGATGACACAAATTGCGCTCAGTCTTTTAAAACTGTCTAAAAATTCTCAATGCCATGTCTCCATCATTGTTGACAGGTCTCCATGGTAACAGCTTGCCAATCATAAGGCTGTCATTGTCTATTTTTCTATGACTATGGAACACAATTAACAAATTTAACATCACGCTATATACAAAAAAGACTTGAATCTACAGATTGAGACCAAATTAACTTCAATGAAAATGTTTCCTAAAATAATAAATCAACTAAGATGTAGGCTCGTTCGCTCATAGAGCTCTATACAAACTGATTTTCATTTTTCAGACGCCTCTGTTGCCCCCTGCTGGCCACTAGAAACAATGCAGGTAAAACGCACATCCTATGTGACCTCACATCTGAAAGTCGATCTGCATAGACATTATGAGTGAAACAAAACGCCAGCTGAAGGTCGTTGTCGGACTGTCAAACTGACTAACCTCAGAAAACTATTTTATTGTATGGAGGCTCAAGGGACAGGAATTATACTTTATTTTGTTCTCTGTAAACTTAATCCAGGCAGTAATAACAATGCCACCACAGAACAATTATGAAAACAGGTAAGTGAGATGTTGCAGTAAATGCTACAAGCTGCATTGTAATGCTCCAGACTCTCTGGAAAACATCGAACAGAAAACCTTTGCACTCACTGATGTGCTCCCTCTCTCTCTCTCTCTATCTCTCTCTCTTTAAAAAATATGTGGCCCTCAATGTAAGATTTATGTATTTCAAATGCATTTCAAATTTCCATTCAATTTAATGATTTGATTTCAGTGTAAAACAGACTAATACACTTAAATGTGTAATGCATTTTTAGGAGTAAAACCTAAATTAAAACCAAAAGGATTACACATACTGTACATGTGATTATTATTCACAGGTCTGCTCAACCTCACAATATGACCAGGACAGCATAAAACAGCACACACTGGATCGTCCAATCAAAAAAGAAAAGCCTCTCTGCCTGTATTTGTAATAAGTGGCACAAAGACCCACAAACTGTAAGGCTGCTGATTAATGGAAGTAAAAACACACAAGGTGAAAAGCCTCTCACAGCTTTGGAAGAGGCAAATTAACGCTCAGGGGAGAGAAATCGCACACACAAAATATTTGATTTCATCTTCCTGGTTTGTAGTACACAACACCATAATGTGTGTTTGAAGTGTCACAGTGATTTCAAGCTTTTAAGTGATTCTCTACTAAAATATCCTAAATGCATATCATCATATTTTCAAAGCTTAACAATGTGTGTATAAATATTTTAGTTCATTTGCAACTAGACATGCCGTTTGTGATTTTTAGCATACTTTGCCGCTGAGTTTGGAACATTTTGAGCACATTGATAGAGAGCAGAGAAATTGGTTATGCTGCAGATTATAAATATTTCTATAGTAAATACATCTGCATATCGTCTTATGTTGCAAATAAACTTTCAAGTTGACCACAGACACTGCTCCTGATGCGAGAAAAAACATCTGAGGATGAAGGTCGAGCAGATGTTTAGTCAATCTGTTGTGAGGTTTTCACTTGGGGGGCAAAGAATTGGACCATTTTGTCCTAACAGCACTGTGGCTCTCATACGACTCTTTTTTTATGATATAAGCTGATAGATAAATAAATCTGTTCCTGTTAGTGTGATCAAGTGTGGCACTACATACCTTTGTTTTGTCGTACAGTGCGTGGTTGTCCAAAAGCATCTGCCGCTCCATTCGAGCGTACCTCCTCAGGTCTCTCTCAAACTGCTGTGGAAGAAAGAATCAAAGGTCTGAATCAAAATCTTTGTTCAGTTATTTTGATGGCACAGAAAGAAAGTAGTGATGCCTCCATTTCATTTTCTATCCAAAAAGATAACCAGAAAAAAAGGTATTTTATGTCAGATATTTCTCATATATTCATATGATAATCTGCACTGTTAAAAGTCTTTGTATTCATGTTTAATATTATTTCAGTATCTGTCGGACTTTGCCTCGAATAGAATCACTTTTTGTTAAAAATGAAGACTACACGGACGGTGACCTTGATGTTGTTCTTGCCTTGCAGCACATTTTACAGCATGCTGTTGTCACACACAGGAGGAATGATTGCTCATGAAATGCACTAACTCCTACTTTTTGGAGTCCTGCAGCTACTGCTCACTGTCAGCCAGAGTGTAATCCTTCATACCCTGGAGCCGGTCCAGCCCAGCAGAGCAAAGGCATAGCGATCCATGGGTGGCGCCACCAAGTCCACGCGCACTGCCCTCCAGCCCCTGCTGTCCCCCTCTGCGATGTGCAGACCCCCCTCCACTTGGCTGCCCTCCAGCCGCAGGATCAGGAAGCACTTGGCAAAGTGGTCCATGGCCTCGAACCTGTGGCAGGGAAGCTTCGACATATCAAAGGTGGAGGCCTGGTACTCAGTGTAGAGCAGAATTCCCTGGGAAAGAGAGAGAAATTCAAAATATTAGGATGGACATTATATGTTTATTGGCTTTTTATGTATAGATCCTTGTCTTTGTTGAATACATGTTTCTGCTGTTAAACCACTGTGAAACCTAAAGAATAGCTTGACCCCTATCCTAGCCTCTGCCTGAAACAGTGCGTTTCAGCTGCTGTCTCTTTAAGGCCCCATTCTCACTTTCTTCTGATTGGCCAGTTCTGTAGACTCCTTCTGGGGCGCAGAACGCTGCAGGGCTACCAGGGGGAGCGCTGCTCTCCAGTGCTGGGAGAAGAGAGCCTATGTAAGAGTTCACCAGCTTACTTAGAGGCTTGTAGCCGTATTGTGAAATTCTTGGTTTCATATCGTTGAACAATCGAGTGATTTGCAGGATGAGCCGTTTAGTGCCCTCTGCAGACTCATCTGGGATTACTCAAACATACGTTTACCCCATGAGTTGAAACTTTGCCCATGTTTAGTATGGCATCCAGCATTGTAACACTACATGAGAGTGTTACAATGGGATCAGCATAATCGGTCAACTTTAAGGAGCCGCTAGTCAGGAGTTAGCACATCACAGACATAGGGAGGGATCTGGCCATGAAAGGCTTTAATAAATCAGTTCTTAAACTCACAGGTAGCCAGTGAAGGGAAGCAACGACAGGTGTAATGTGGTCACTAATATTGCTATTCGTTAAAATCCTGGCAGCAGCATTTTCAATTCATACATGGAACTTTTCCTGACTCAAGTCACAGAGTTATTTAGATGAACACAATACAATATAACCTTAAGGAAAAACCATAATGTGGCTTCTGTACCACCAAATAAGAAGCATGCAGGACTGATGATGCAATAACCCGGTGCATTAAACAGTAAAACAAAACACAGAAAAATCTCAGTAAACCGCGAGTGAAGGTATCCCTCAGTCTTTGTTTACCAAGAATACAAACCAGTCCATTTCACATTATCCATGAGCATTAATAACAGTTTAAGCTGCAATGCTGTCAACTGTAATACAAACGTTAAATAAATGAAAAGTCTAGCAAAACGGCTAAAGCCCTTTTGCGTTGGTTTTGCCGAGAGACTTAAAGGAGGACAGCCTGTGTATGTCTCTTCAGCGAGCACCCGACGGCCCTGACAGCAAAAAGCCGGTCACCTTTCATCTGCAGCCCAGACTACAGAGCAGCCAAAAAGAGCTGATCCTCTCCCTACCAGAGGATCAGAGGCTGGATACTGGCTGACAGACGGTCATAAGTACAGAGGCGTAGCCTGTATGGGAGATGTTAATCACCCCTTTAACCTATCAAATATCTCCATTCATCAATTTTCTAAAGCGATACCACAGAAACCGTGCCATATCTGAAGTCATTTGGTCAGAAGCACTGAGGACTTTGTCAGGCCTAAGAGATGCCCTGCTATATTAAAGAAAAATGAGGCATGCATAACTATACAGTATATATCATGTTCTACTTAAATAGATCTCCAGGATCAAACTGGGATCAAAAAGCACAATAAGAGTGAAGTCTTGAATAGATTCATGGTGTTTGCCAGCTGACTATCATATCCCCCTCTTTTTTCTAACCAATTCAAACAGCTTCTCTTTTCTCACTGATTCGCTGCAGAACGTTTGATGACATTAAATACACTGCTCCTGCCAAAAACTCATGTCATTTTTAATTTAATGAATATTGTCAGTGTCAAACACAGATGACTCTGGTTGGCGCTGGTAGCCTATAGTGGTTAGTGTGAAAGCCCCATGTGCCGAGGCTACTGCCCTCAAAGAGGATGGCCAGGGTTCGAATCCGACCTGTGGCTTCTTTCCTGCATGTCATTCCCCACTTTCTCTCTCTCCCCAGTTCCTGCCTCTATCCTCTGTCTTATCTTTAACATAATGGCATAAAAAGCAAAGACTCTCTTGTTATCTAACAGGTAAGGTGAGAGACCAACTACAGAGAAACCAGCTTAGTTGAAAGCTGCTAAAGAATTTGGGACCATTTATCACCATATGTTGTCATTTAAAACACCAGCCCGATCACAGAGAAACTCCCAGTTTCAGGATTCACAATCATTAGAATCTTGTCACAGATAGTCAGCGCAGCAGTTCTCACATCTGTTATCTTTAACCAAACATTTGCTCTCCCTGAAAAACTGGCAGAAAAAACGATTCTTCACATTTTGGGAGATCAAGTTGGTTTAGAAAGAGACCTTGAAGAAGAAATGAAGATGTGAAAATTGTTGATTCTGACCAGGTTGGATATTTGCCATACTAAAATAAAAACATATGATTTCAAATGGTTTGGTTCCCTTTTTGGTAAATCAACAGGCGTTCATCAGCGTTGAAGGACTAGTGCCGAAACACGTCCGTTGCTGTTGTTGTTGTTGCTGCCTTATACCCGGATAAAAGAAACCTAAAGGACATTTGTGTGCTAATATAATCATCAGAAACATAAAAAAAAACTTCTATTCCCTTTATCCAAAGGCAGCGTTCTGGTTTAAACATTGGCCTGAATTACACACATGCACAAACAGGCTCTGTGGACATGCATAAATGAAGAGATGTTAGAGTGGGGCTGCTACATGGGGAGCTCACCATAGCTGTTGGTGGTATGCTGACTTGCTCAAGGGCAACTTGGCAGTACTCGGGAAGTGACCTGGCACTGCTCCAACTTTCAACCCAACCCCTTACAGTCTGAGCTACTTCAGCCCCAACTAACAGATTAACACATATTGTAGGGCTGACATCCAATTAGCCCGTATAACTACTTTAAATAAATTCCAAACATTAAAAAATCGAGAGTCAAGTCATCTTGATTGGTTAATTGAAGTTTGATAAGAACACCAGTGACTCTTTATCGGGGCTAAGAACAGAAAAAGCCATAGGACTAAAGATGCCAGACACCGTGTGAACATCTGCTCTGACTTGTCATCAGGATAAGATGAGCCCTGAGTGGTGAGAAAAGAGAAGGCTAAGTGTTAGATCCAGCAGAGAGACTAGCCTCCAGTCAGCCGTACAACATGACTGAAGCCCATTCCCTGATAAACGGTCACACTCCTTAGATAATGGAAATCTCTGCCAAGTAAGATGTCAGTTTGTTGAAGAGAGAGAATGAGGGAGGTTCACCGAAGAGAAACAAAGCTGTTAGCGGAGAAGAGAGTGCCAGAAAGTAAGAGAATAAAAGACTCAACCTGTGAGAGAATGTAAGAAAAAAGGGTGGACGAGGTGATAGGAGGAGGGACAGAAAAAAGAAAAGAAAGAAAGAGCATGAATTGATTTCCTCCTGGCCGTGCCCCAGCTGATTATACTTCTCCTTGGATGTGGGAGTGTTAAGACGATTAAGATTACAAATTGTCAATTGAATTCCAGCTCCCGGCGTAATTGTTGGGATACTACTCTCCTCTCAGTGAACATAAATCTACTGCACCCTCCTTAAAGAGCAATAATTGGGAAAGCGAGTGCAGCGGGCAGCCACTCAGCCTGTCCAGCCAGATGACTGAGGTTAATCACAAAACATTTAACACCCACCCAGCACTCCAATGGTTCACCACTGAGCAAATGATCAGATTAGGGCGACTCTTCTTCTGGCAAAGGAATTACAGAGGGGAAAATCTTGATTGTCACATGGGAGTAGAACTCAAGGAAGCACCGACCCCCCTCCACCTCAATTTTTCCTCCTTAGGCTCTGATTCGTTTAAAACGCAATCACAGGCAAAAAAAAAAAAAAAAGATGTCACCCTGTGCTGCACCCCTGGACTGCTCTCCATCTGCATTTCGAGATAACCATTCACCTCTGTGTGGAAAAAGCTGGCAGAGGGACTCTTAGAGATCCCTTTACATTCAGTAATAGCTTAGCTTAAGGCAGTGACAGCTCCCACTTAGATAATGAGCACAGAATGACAGCATTAAAGCACTTAAACACTGACTAATCTGAAATTAAAACCCCGGGAGACACACTTGAGACAAGTTGCGGGAGAAGGTCTGCAACCAATCTAATCCGCGAGGCACAGATGTAGGTCCGTACTTATTTAAAAGATATTTTGGGTCCTCCTGGCAGAGCATTTATACACGACCCTGAATCATTGTGATGCCTTCAGAGGAAAGTAATAAGGAGTTATGGGCAACAGCAGGACAGACTATTAAGTAGCTGAATATGGGTACCCGTTCAGTGAGGTTTGCCGCCCTCCCGCCTACACACACACTTTGGAGTCTCCCTCTTTCTGCCTGACACAAATACACAACGCTCACAAATCCAGCATTAAAACAGGATGTCATCAAGTCCCCTGTCTCAGCATCGCCGGAGGCTGTTTAGCCCAATAGCGCTCTGTAATCATCTCCCACGCAGCAGGTAATGTCAGCGAGCATCTGAGAGTAAGCTTATTCCAGCAGAACTGTTTACAGAGGGAATTACAGAGGAGGACAGCGGGAAGATAATCTTTCCCCCACAGCTTCGCCTCTTGAGCGCTGAAAGAAAAAAGGATCAAGTGAGCACAGCTTTCCCAAATTGGGAGCTGAAATGGTATAAATTGTATTTTCTCTATTTGAGATTTTACTCCTTTGTTTACTCCACTGGATTAAAGGGACCTGTGTCCACAAAGCTTTAATGGTATATACATTTATGGATGCATGTCATATTCATGTGTGAACAGACGGATATCTAATCAGTTAAGGATTCTTATTTACAGAAGCCCTATGAAAACATGCCTCCAGACATTTTATCAAGTTATTTGTGGTTGTTTTCTGGAGATCTAGACTCATTTATAATGTATCCCTAAAGTTAAAAACCACAAACAAACATAGAAACAGGCTTAATGTTTAACCCTAACCCATGGTCAATGGTAACATGGCATGCACGGTCTGGACTGCAACAGCAGCCAGCACCATTGTTATTGTATCTTTTCCTTAAGGTTTATTTGTGGGATCTTTATGCCTTTATTTACATTTAGGGATAGAAAAGTGAATAGAGACAGAAACCAGGAAGAGAGAGAGAGTGGAGAATGACAA